ATTAAGACTCTAGGAGGAGGTCATCTCTGATGGGCTCAAGAGATTCAGCCAATCTGACACACAGAGCCCTGAAGGAGACCTCCCATTCCCAAATTATGATTCCTGCTCTCAGTGACTACCCTCACACATAAACCAATGTGACTTTGTGGGGGCTGCTGAGACTCAGTCTGTTACAACTGGCATCAGTTGCCATAGGTAAGTCATCACAAGAACCTGACCTTGGTTTAGCACATTTTACACTTGAGTGCTGTTCATCTGGGTGACACCAAGCAGGGAGCAGAGAGGCAGGAAGACAGAGACAGTGCCAGAGCATGCTTCCAGGCACTGCCCCCACTGCACAAGTTGCAGAAGCTGCCTCACCCACACAGAGGGACTAAGCCCAGAAAGCTAAATTTTTGAGCTGCTGCTGAGAACCCCATAAAAAGCAATGCTATTTCTAATCTCCTGCACCATGGAAAAAATATACACACCACCAAGCAACCCAAAATCTCTGAAAGGTTTATTCTTATACTCTTCCCCACACCCCCACCCAAATCTCTCCCACAAAATTTTTAAGTGGAAAATTTGCTAGCTTTTTAGCAGTTTGACACTGCTGTGCTATGAAGCTGCTACCATGTTTGATTTTAAAGCAAAAAGTAAAGGTGTTTGTCTAATATAATTCTGAATGTCTACTTAATAAGAAAATAATATAGTCCAACAATATATAAAAGGACAGAATCCAACAAATAGGCAGAAAAAAATTCCCAAGTTTCCAGGCCACATACAGAAATGACAGGAGTAACAAGTTTCTCTTATACTCTGAAAGTAGTGTGTATGCCTGCTGATTTTCCCCTTTGCATTGCTGTTTTTTCCCTAATTCAAAGATGGCACATGACATCCCTGATGCCCTTGCTGAGTTTCAATTTTTTCAGTGCACTCTTAACTTAAAATTGAAGAATGAGTGAAAGCAGTGAGATAGAGCTCAGATCTGAGTCCCCTGATGCTGTGTAGACATGGGGCAGGCAGGAGGAAGGGCCTGAATAAGGCCTGGAGAACCCTTCTGGTTGGCTCTCAGAAGCCAAGGAACCCCAAAACTAGTCTACATACAATCTGTCCCAGCACCTCACCCACTAGGAACCTTGGCATTACTTCTCTGATGACAACCTGCAAGGTCAGAGAGAAACCAACCTACAACTGCCTGGCTTCTCATATAGATTGGAAGTCTTAGTACAGCCTCTGAATGATCTTCACCTAACTGTAAGACAGAGTGTAAATCCTCCTTCTACTTAGGGAACCCCCAGCACAATCTGGTCATTTATTTATACCACAGCTCTGAATGTTTTTGTTCAAACACATTTTTATGGTTTAATCTATTTGATTGCACACTACCAAGGGTACATCCAGGGAAAATAAGCATTACATTATTTACCAGTGTAGACATTAGGGACCTACACTCAAAGGTAATGCTTCTCCCAGCACTACTGATCCTCTTTGATTTACCTTGAAAGTTTAAATGTAATGCAAATACAAGAAGCCCAGGTCAGGGATGCACTGTCTATATCTATGTTTATCTTTTAATTGCTAGAGCATCTCCCTACTGGGACCACAAGTCTTATGCTGAAAGACTTTCAAATGGCTCCCTGGTCTTCATCATCCACTTCAAATCCCTTGAGGACCTTGATGAAAACCAAAAGAGAGATGGGATTTCCCCTGCCTAAACCTTTCTTATCTGTGTTGAGAGCCAACCAGATCTAAGTTTGATGTTTCATTCTCTCATAAAGAGGACAGGAAATGGTGCAAAAGCTTGAATAATAACTTCTTCACCTACATTCCAGCAGTTTGGTGCTCAGTTGAGTGACCAGCACCAGCACTCCACTACACCTGGCTCCAGCAAGATGCCTCATGAAATTCCTCAGCAAACCTCCTTAGTCCTGAAAGAGGACAGAGAGATCCATGCCTCTACTCTCTCTCTTCCTCCTATCCTGTCAGCACATGGCCCTTGGGTAAGAGCATTTGGATGGGAAAAGATAACTAACATTTTATTGAGCTCTTCCTGGGCATCAAATGCTGAATTAAGGACCTTCACAGGAATTCCACAGGATAAATATTATCAATATTATCCCATTTAAATATGAGAAAAGCTGAGACTTGGAGAGGGTTAGGACTTACCAGCATAACAAAGTGAATAAAAGTGGCAAGGACAGAATTTGAGGCTAAGGTGTGTTTCTAACTAAATCTTACAAATTGGCATGGCAAAAAGGCATCTGTCTTCAGATTTATCAAGGAGGTCAAAATTCTAAAATACATGTAATAACAACCTAAACATGGGGACCCAGCCCCAGTTTAAAACCAACTCCAAAACAATCAGTAAGTAAGATAGGCACATTCTGAAGTTAATGCAAAAATCTAGGCCCAGCCTTGGCCTTCCCAGCCAAGCAAACACAGCATAGTAGTAGTGCTACCTGTTCATCTTATCAGCACTTAAGAATACCTTCTAGTCCAGCTGTGAGCTCTAAGGCACAGGACTTTACAAGTAACAAAGCAAATATAAATTCCAGGATAGCCAGCTCTGAGAACCTATTTTAGATGTGCTAAAGTCCTTTTTTTAAAGATTTTATTTATTTATTTTTAGAGAGGGAGGGGAGGGAGATAAAAAGAGAGACAGAGAAACTTCAATGTGCGGTTGCGGGGGGTTATGGCCTGCAACCCAGGCATGTACCCTAGCTGGGAATTGAACCTGGGACACTTTGGTTCCCAGCCCGTGCTCAAACCACTGAGCTACACCATCCAGGGCCTAAAGTTCTTACAACACCTCAGAATCCAAGTATGAGCTTTAAAATGACCTGAGACGCACAAAGTGGCATGCAGTTCTACATGCAGGGATCTGTTCTTTAACTATTCTCATGTTCAGAAGGACCAATGTGGCTTTGTATCTAAAACCCATATACAGTAAAGTAGTAAATAAGTTTTCTATTACCAATTTTGAAAGTTGCTTAAAATACCTAACAGAAGGCCATAACCACTTATATGGGAGGAAACCAGGAACTTAATGTAATTTGTAAGAATTATTTCTAGTTTTGCTGAAATTTTGTAAATCACAGTCCTTATAGGCATAGTCCAGCAGTGTATTCAGTTACTCAGAAAAACTTTACTTAAAGACAGTTTTAGTTTTTGGTGGGTAGAGTCAAAGAGGACTACCTCTGAGATGACAAAGGAGACACTAAACTGGCCCATACTCTCTTCGGCCCTGTTAAAGATGAGCTGTCACCTCCATTTTAAGCTGGTGGTGGGTGCGCCAAGTTATGGAAGAAAAATAGCCCAACTCATCAACATTCACCAAGTCAGGGAAGATAAGGGATTCTCAAATATCATGCTGTCTTTTGAAGTAATAAAGAATCACATGAACGAGAATCATGTTTCATTGGTCACTAAACATGCATGAGGTGCAGAGCTTGAAGTGCTCCCTGTAAAAGCTGACCATCCACCCTGTGAGAGCCCACTGAATGGGCTCCAAGTTTGCAGATATCTGATAGTGAAATCCACTCAGCAAACAAACACATGAACTGCACACATTCAGCAATACAGAGGAATTGCACCCAACACTGACTCAGAGTGTGCTTTGTGACATACTGTGTGTTTCTTAGCACCTACAACTTTAGGAAGGTTCTAGACTGTGAAAAGTGCATTTAAATTCAAGTTTCTGTGTGCCTCAATGAGGAAGCACATTAAATCCCTCCTGATTCTCCAATTGCCTCATGCATTTCCAACAGCAACCATAAATAAAAAGGCTAAATGAGCCTCCAGGAGGGGTCTTCATTGCTTAATTTCACTTGACAGAAGTTTTATTGAACTTTTCCTATCTACCAGGCAGTGTTTTGGCCCTAAGGAAAAAATTAAATGGGAGGGAGGGGGATGATTCTTAACCTTACAAAGCTTACATTCTAGTAAGAGATTTAGCACAAACAATGAGTTATACCTGGCACATAAAAATTTAGGAAAAAGTTGCACCTTATATGTTATAGACTTTCTTACTTTCCTGAAGACTCTCATATATTTCATTTGATGCTCCCCACAGTTGAGCCATTGGGCAGGACAGGATCACTAAAATCACTTAAGAGTTGACAAAACAGAAGCACAGAGAAGTGATGAGGCCCACCTCAGATGAAAAGCTGGTGGTGGGCAGACTGAGGCAGAGCATGTTGCTCCTGGCACCCTGCTGGCACCTTCACTGATTGTCCCCCACTGGTGCTGGCTCTGATTCAGGCTTCAAGTCTGAGAATGTCCAGAGATAACCAAAAGACATAGGTGTCATCTAAGCTTCTACTTCCAGAAATGCCAAGGCCAGGCCACTTACATCCCACCCTCCAAAAAGAAATCCTAAAGCCACATAACCCTAAAACCAAATGCAACAAATTAGGAGGTCAACCCCCACTTCGTGGTACAGACCACATGTGCTATCAATACAAAGAAAAACCTGCTTGTTCACTTGATGGCACTATAGCTGAGAGAGAGAAAGGAATTGACATGTATTTAGTGTGTGCTATGTGCCAAGTGCTGTATTAAGCTTTGTGGTTTATTTATTTCTCACAGCAACCATATTATTACCTCCATTTTATGAAGTAAGAAAACAAGCAAAACAAAGAATTTAGAATGAGAAATAAAGAATCCCTTTCTCACTGATCTTAAATGTTTTCAAGTATCTGAGCATTAAATGCTCAGGCTCAGCAATTTTATAGTTGAATAGTAAAACTATTTTCCTTCAAGTATTTTAGTAAATGTAGAAATATTTATTTCATATATATTCACAGCCCACTGTGAATATACTTGTTTCTTAAGCAAAAAAGTCATATTTAATCTGATATCATGCAACTTTCATCCTATCAGAAAAATTAAATTAGTAGTTTTTACATCTGGAACTTGGTACAACTTTCTTGAGAAGAACACCATCTAGAACAGTAAGTACTGTGACAAGCTCTGCTTCACAAACATTATCAAAAAGAAGAGCCTTAAGTCCTACTCACCTTTAAGCTATATGAAAACTGATGTCAGTTCTTGAAATGGTCTTATAAGAGACAGCAGTTTGATGTTACAAATGTAGAGCTTGAACTGCTAAAAAGAAAAATAAAGAATTTCAGGAACCATTTATTGGTTTCACTTAGCACACCATTCCCTTCCCCAAGTTCCAAAAAATGTTTGAGGACTGTCACAATTAAAGGCACAAATACAAAAATGAATCAAATAAAAATACAAAAATAAGCATCAAATAATAAAGAAAAGGAAGAGGGAATTATAGTAAAAAATCCAGGGTAACTGTTGTGACTGAACTGGGGACAAAATATCCCTGTCAGCTCTTGAGCAGCCTCAGGGGCACCAAGTTCTTATCTTCCAGTCAAAGGACCCACACTTGTTCCTTCAAACACACAGGCTTTTTCTTCAACGAGGGGCCATAAACAAATAATGGACAATGTCCTTATTGGATTTTGAGGGGTTTTTAAATCATAAACATGCTAAGTGAGGTTGTGAAAGGACCATTTCCTTTCTTAATCCAAATTATCTGGTGACCACACACATCCACCAATCCTTAACTGTAAGGGGAGGAAGGCCCAGACACATTTCTTTCCTCCCATGAAATACATGTTAAGGATTTTGTGGGAGGAACACTGACCCCTACTTAGTGAAGATCTAGCTAGGGTGATAACATGTGTGATTCTGTCAACAAGTCTGTCTTTACACCTGCCCTCCACTCTGTTGGTAGAATGTTCTCCATTTAGTGCTCTAGACTTTGTCCACTTCTGGGTCACACAATCTGTCACCTGCATCCTCATCCCAACTTGATGAGTATACTCTATGCATCAAGCCATTCCAGGTCATATCAGGTGACCACCTTATGCCTTACAAAGTAGTTTCAGGTAAACTCAGTTAGCTAGCTCTGCTTCAGATACCAGAAGTACCTCTCAGCTCACAGCCTACCAATGGGTAGGATTACACTCCTGTCCAAGGTTGAATAAGCCTCCATCTGTCTAGCTTATGTGCTGCAGTGTACTCCCCAGGAGACTTGTCCCTCAAAGTGTGTTTCTGCCATATGTCACTCCTGAGTGATCAGCCAATGCTAAGACACCCAGATTTTTTTAAATGACTGTCTAGCGAGAGGATACTGTGAGATTCCTGTGGAGGTCCACCAGAACACATGAGCCAAACACCTTGCTATTTGTATGTAACTCCTTCTAATCAATATTGTGAACCTATAAACATTACTTTCTCCTCCTGTTTTCTACCTACTGAGAGAAGAAAACAATCCACTTCTGATTTTCCATTTGATAGATTTTATTCTTCAATTAGGAGTGCTCTCATCAGTCTTCCTAGGATTTGAATGCTCAGATTTCTTGGGAGCAAAGGTCAGTGGAATAACCAGAAAGATGTTGTGGCAGGCAGAATTCAAAGGTAACCCCCAATAGATCACTCCTTTGTATCACTCCCTACACCAGAGTGCAGGAAGAATCTGTGACCTGCTTCTAACCAACAGAATATGGCAAATGTAATGAGATATCACTCCCTTGATCAAGTTATACTATATAAGACTGTCTCAGTAGACTAGAGAGTGAGAGACCCACTTTCAGGTTTTAAACAAGTGAGCTGCCATGTCATGACAGGGCTTGTGAGGGGCCACATAGCAAGGAACTGCAGGGGTCTCTGAGATCTGAGAGCTGACAGCCTACAAGAAAAATGGGACATCAGTACTATATCTACAAGGAAATTAATTCTGCGAACAACTTGAATGAGCTTAGAAGTGGATTCTTCCCCATTCACACCTCCACATGAGAACACAGCTGGGAGAACACATTGATTGCAGCCTTCTGAGATCTAGAGCTGAGAACCAGCTAAGCCATGCCCAGACTTCTGACCCATGGAAACCGAGATAATATATAGGTGTTGGTTTAAACTAGTAAGTGTATGGTATTTTGTTATGCAGCAATAGAAAACAAATTTAACTCAGTAATTAATTAAATGTGGGGATATACAAAATACATATGTATTAAATGCATGTATAATTATACATCAGGATGGCCCTCCCCCCGCCTCATCCATCCATAAGTGAAAATTCATTCATCTTACTTGACTATGAGCAATTTGTGGGCAAGAACCACATCATCATCACCCTAGCACCCTCAAGATTTCAGAGTATGTGGCACATGGGAGGCTCTTAACATTATTTTAAATAAGCAAAATTAAAAGAGTTATGATTTGTCATAAATCATAATTTGGCTTTTGTTATAAAACCAAAGCAATGGAATTAATACAAGCATTCAGAACAGAGCTTAGAATCTCAAAATTAATCTCAAAATAGGTGGAACACATTTAGTTTCATGCTCTACCCCCAAATAATGGATATACAATTTTTTACTACTGGTTATTTCATTTTACCTATGAACCTGAGTCAGTGCTTAGAAATGTTGGTCAGTTTTGGGGGGGTGGGTTTTGCCAAAAATCCTCGTCACTTCTCTGGTATTTACCTATCTAACAGCTGAAAGTTACAAACAAAAATTCCCTAAGGAATTTTTAAGTAAGAATTTGTGACTTCATCTTTATTTTCCATTCATAACAATAATGCATTCCCAATCAAAATGAAAAAAAAAACTATATAGGTCAAATAACTCAGCTGTAATTCTAAAACGAAATGCTAATCCAACCTTCTGAAAACCTATTGCAAAAGTTCTTTAAGATTTTTTAATTTTTAAACTGATGAATTTTAGTTATTTTAAGTAAGATTTCATTTAGTCTATGTAAAATAAAAGTTAAATGCATAAATATATTGGTTCTGCTATTTTTAAGAGATAAATTATTGGTTTTTTATTACAAATAAGATTGTGACTCAGGTTGTATTTATTTTATTTAGATTTTTGAAAGACCTGGTTTACTAAAAGGGATATTTTAAAATATTCAAATCAGTATAATTACTAAAGAGAGTACAAAATGAAAACTTCATTTATTACAGAAACCTATCATGGTCTCTTAAAACCTATATTCAGGATGTTACTATATATTCCCACTCCCTCATAAATCACTCAGTAAACCTGAACATTATCTCCAAGGTTTATCCATCCCCTGGTGCTCAGTCTCTAAGGCAGCAGCTCTCACACTTAAGCCAAGAACAACTAAAAACATCAGTTTCATGACATGAGAGGCAGAGAATTTCAATAAACTTACCTCTTCTTCTTAGCATAATTTTCACTCTCTTGGGCTAGTGCTATGTGTGAAAATAGCCAGTGACCCACAGCAAGTAACTGCAGGGGTCACTGATATCCCTCCCCATGCAGAGGAAGAAATAGGTCCAGATGATAGACCCTACCCAGTTCCCTTCACCCTCAGTTCTCATAAGTGTATGCCTTTCACACAATCTTACAAAACACAGCTCGACAGAAAGTACAGTGCTTGGAAAAAAGAAGACTGAGTATCAATGTTATGCCCCACAAAGGAAATTAAGCTTTCAGAAGAATGGTTCACTTGACAGAAACAGACACTGAAGAGAGTTAATAAGGACAGGTGCTCAAAGAAGGTGCTGGCAGAGTTCCTCTTAAATAGTTCCTCTTCGAGCTGCTGCTCAAAGCACTTGAAGAATCTATGCATGGTTTTCCAAAGTGATAAAGTATAGTTCTGTGGGGCTGATGATCTCACTAACCCCAAACCACCTCCTCAGTGGAGATCCTCATGTTCAGTGGATGCAGTTGGGAACCATAAACTAACTGGTGAGAAGCAGAGCAAGAGGCGAAGTGCATGTGTTCCTCAAAAGTAACATAGCAAGGAAGTACCTTGGTCCTTGAATGGAAGGGAATACATGAATGGCAAGGAGTACATGAATGACAGGAGACTGAAATTTCACAAGACAAGTGAGGCACATTTATTCTTCACAACATTACCACCCTCTCTTTAAGGTAAAGGAAGGCATTTGTTCTGGACAAAGGTTAAGAGAGAAACATGGCCACACGCTTCCTTCCTTTCTCTGAAACAGGACAGGCTCCAGGTGGTAACTGGGTCCTGTAAAGTTGAGTCATTTAAAACACAATGACCCCTAGAGACAGGAGGAGAGAGCCATTCCATGGAAATTATAAACTGAGATAGGGAACAACAAAAAAATAGTAGGTAATGTACTTTAGTGTTACAGAGAGAGATTAATGAAAAAAGAAAACAAATGTCTCTCCTTCCAGAACTATTTTTGCTTTATGACATTTTTCAGAACTATTGAGATGTTCCTTAAGAATGGAAGCAAATGCAGTAAAATACATGGACTTTTGCATCAGGTACATTTTCAAGACACAAAATGCATGTGTGCATTTATTCAACCCATAAATGCCACAATTTTTGTTTTGGTATTTTTCTCTCATAGAGCTGAATTATTTCAGAGTAAAATAATGCCAAGAAATACTGACCACAGGTGTGTCTTTCTGGCCCAGGAACTCAGCACAAGAATCTTCTTTCTCACTAGCTGAGAGTAGTCTGAGGGGCCCCCAGGAAGCACTGCCAGCAGCCTCCCTTACAGAGCACCAGCATCACGCAGGGCCCAGTCATCAGACCAGAACTAGGGGTTTGATAAGTTGTTTCTTAACAGAGCATAAGAAACTATTTCATTGGTGTGCCTTTCAAAATCAAGGAACACACAGAGAAGACAACTTTGTGCATCTCCCAAGAGATACTAAGTCAGCCCAGAGGAAAAAGAGAGATCCCGAAGCCAGAAGCCATCTGTCGGCTGTCCGGCTTACTTTTAGCTGAGTTTTCTGTTCCCAAAATAGAAATGAAGGACCTCTTCAAAGCAGATGTATTCTGTTTCCTGGGAAAAAAATAAGGCATGGCAGCGGCTACAACTGCAAATCATCTCTTCAAGAGTACAGGGAATAGACCAAGGGGGCTTTCCTGGGGTACAGCTGAAGGGATCAGCCTCTTCAAACACTTGATCCCCCAAAACCCCTAAATGGTGCATTAAACAGATGAAGGCACCCCAGATGGACTCCTCCACATACCTCCTCTCAGCCAGTGCAGGATAGAAACAGCTTCCAAGGTCTGAACTGACAGGACAGCAGGGTGGTCAACAGATTTTCAAAGTCCCCATGCCAGGG